GGATATATGGGGGTCAGGGAGCTGCTCGAGGAGACAGTCTGTCCTTTATTGGAGCTCAAGTCCTGAGCTGTGAGCTCCGTTGTTCATTCAGAGTTGCTGGGCAGGTACGTTTAGGTCTGCTGCAGCAGAACTCATAAACTCCCTTTTTTTTTTTTTTCCCAGGTGCTTTGTCCCAGGGAGTTAGGGCTTTATTTATGAGTTTCCGTTGTGCTGCTGCCTTTTTTTTTTCTTTCAGGGCTGCCCTGCCCAGCTAGGAGGCAGCCTAGTCACTGTCTGCCTGCAGAGGCTTTGCTGAGCTGCTGTGGGCTCCGCCCAGCTGCCATGTGATCTTCCCTGCAGTCCTGTTTATATGGGTATAGGTAGAACTGCCTTGGCAATGGTGGCCCACCTCTGTTATGGCGGACTCTCTCGGTAGTGTCAGGTTGCCTCAGCAACGGTGGGCTGCCTTAGCGATGGTCAGACTGCCTTCGTAGTGGTGGAGTATCTCAGTAATGGCAGACGTCCCTCCCTCACAGAGCCAAACCGTCCCAGGTTCAGCTGTGATTGCTGTGAAACTCTCAACCCAGAGCATTTTCAATTACTGTTTTTTGTGAGGGGGTGGGTTGGGACCAGCTGAGCCTGATCACCTGGCTCCCTGACTCAGAGTCTTTTTGTTGTTGTTGTTGTTGTTGAATGGTCGACTCTCTCCCAGTGTTCCAGTCACCTGTTGAAAAGGTGCCGGGATCTCCCGTGCCGCGACTCACTGAGCCGGCTGAAACAGCGGCACTGAGATTCCTGGCGGTATTTTGGCCTAGGAATCTCCTGGCCTGGCTCGCTATTTCAGATGAATGGGTGACTCTGCTGTCTCAGGGCTCCAATCACCAGCTAAGAGGGCACCCGGACCAGTGTCTTTTGTATGGAGAACTGCCACACCAGGGTGCGGGCAAAGCAGCCACATGGGCCAAAACAGCCGCGCTGGCGACCCGTGGGGCTCCTCTGCCTGGGAATCTCCTGGTCTTTGGGCAATAAAAATCCATCTGGAAGTGCAGCGTTCACTCACCCTCTGCACTTTCACTGGGAGCTGCAATCCTGAGCTGTTCCTAGTTGGCCATCTTCCCCCAATCATCGGTAGTTCTATTTTTAATTTTTTGAGGAACTTTCATACTATTTTACAAGTGGTTACACCATTTTATAACCCCACCAGCAGTGTGCAAGGGCTTCAGGTTCCCTTATTTATACCAAAACTTTTCCGGGTTTTTGATGGTCGCTATCCTAATGAGTGTAAGGTGATGTTCTCATTGTGATTTTCACTTTCATTTTTCTGACACTTATTGATGTTGAGCATCTTTTTATACTCTTGTTGGCTATTTGTGTAGCATGTTTGGGAAAATGACTATCTGAGTCTTTTTTTAATTTTAAATTCATGTGATTTGATTTTTGTTGAGTCATAAGAGCTCTTTATGTATTATTATTATTATTTATTTATTTATTTATTTTCACAGGTTATTAGGGAACAGGTGGTGCTTTGTTATATGAGTAAGTTCTTTTGTGGTGATCTGTGAGATTTTGGTGCACCCATAGCCCAAGTAGTACACACTGTACTCAATTTGGATTCTTTTATCCCTCACCTGCTCCGACCCTTTTCCTCCAAGTCCCCAAAGTCCATTGTATCATTCTTATGCCTTTGCCTCTTCATGGCTTAGCTCCCACTTATAAGTGAGAACATACAATGTTTGGTTTTCCATTCCTGAGTTACTTTACTTAAAATAATGGTCTCCAATTCCATCCAGGTTGCTGCAAATGCCATTATTTTGTTCCTTTTATGGCTGAATAGTATTCCATGGTATATATACCACAATTTCTTTATCTACTCATTGATTGGTGGGCATTTGGGCTGGTGGTGCCCATATTTTTGCAATATTTTTGCAATCGCAAATTGTGCTACTATAAACTTGCATGTGCAAGTATCTTTTGTGTACAGTGACTTCTTTTCCTCTGCGTAGACACCCAGTAGTGGGATTGCTGGATCAAATAGTAGTTCTACTTTTAGTTATTTAAGGAACCTCCATGCTGTATTCCATAGTGGTTGTACAGGTTTACATTCCCACCAGCAGTGTAAAAGTTTTCCCTTTTCACTACAACCCCACCAACATCTATTATTTTTTTATTATGGCCATTCTTGGAAGAGTAAGGTGGTATGACATTGTGCTTTTGATTTGCATATCCCTGATCATTGGTGATGTTGCGCATTTTTTCATGTTTGTTGGCCGTTTGTATATTTTTTTTGAGAATTGTCTCTTCATGTCCTTTGCCCATTTTTTGATGGGATTATTTGTTTTTTCTCGCTAATTTGCTTGAGTTCCTTGTAGATTCTGGATATTTGTCCTTAGTCAGCTGTGGGAATTGTGAAGATTTTTCTCCCACTCTATGGGTTGTCTGTTTACTCTGCTGATTGTTTCTTTTGCTGTGCAGAAACTTTTTAGATTAATTAAGTCCCACCTATTTATCAATGTTTTTGTTGCATTTGCTTTTGGGTTCTTGGTCATGAAGTTTTTGCCTAAGCCAATGTCTAGAAGGGTTTTTCCAATGTTATCTTCTAGAATTTTTATAGTTTCAGTTCTTCCACTTAAGTCCTTGATTCATCTTGAGTTGATTTTTGTGTAAGGTGAGAGATGAGGATCCAGTTTCATTCTACGTGTGACTTGCAAATTATCCCAACACTATTTGTTGAATAGGGTGTCCTTTTCCCACTTTATGTTTTTGTTTGCTTTGTCAAAGGTCGGTTGGCTGTAAGTATTTGGGTTTATTTCTCGGTTCTCTATTCTCTTCCATTGGTCTGTGTGCCTGTTTTTATACCAGTACCATGTTGTTTTAGTGACTATGGCCATATAGTATAGTTTGAAGTCAAACTATATAGTTTGATGCCTCCAGATTTGTTTTTTTTTTTTTTTGCTTAGTCTTCCTTTGGCTATGTGGGCTCATTTTTGGTTTCATATGAACTTTAGGATTGTCTTTTCTAGTTCTGTGAGAAATGATGGTAGTATTTTTATCCAAATTACATTGAATTTGTAGATTTCTTTTGGCAATGTGGTCATTTTCACAATATTGATTCTACCCATCCATGAGCATGGGGTGTGTTTCTATTTGTTTGTGTCCTGTTATTTATTTCAGTAGTGTTTTGTAGTTTTCCTTGTAGAGGTATAGAGTGTAATTATAAGGGTCCAATTTTATTCATTTGCATTTGGGTATCTGATTTTCCAGCAACATTTGTTGAAGAGACTGTCCTTTCCCCATTAAGTGGTCTTGGCACCCTTATCAAAGACCATTTGACTATACACATAAGGGTTTATTTCTAAGTTCTCTATTCTATTCCATTATCTATATATCTGTTTATGCCAATACCATACGGTTTTGAATACTATGGCTTGATAATATGTTTTGAAATCAGGAAATATGATTCCTTCAACTTCATTCTTTTCCACAATTGTTTTAGCTATTTGGAGTCCCTTGCGATTCCATATGAATTTTGGGGTGAGCTTTTCTATTTTTATAAAAAATGTCCTTGAGATTTTGATAGGGATTGTACTGAATTTGTAGATTGCTTTGGGTAGTGTGGACATTAACAACATGAACATAGGCTGTCTTTCCATTTACATGTCTCTGTTATTTCTTTCAGCAATGCTTAGTAGTTTTCAGAAATATATCATTTCTTTTTATGGCTATGTAATCTTTCATTGTATAGATATGCTTCAGTTTGTTCATTTGTCAGTTGATGGATATTTCGGTTTCCATCTTTTGGCTATTATGAAAAATGCTGTTAAAAATAATTATGCTCAAGTTTTTGTGTGGCATTTGTTTTCACTTCTTTTCAGTTTGCCCTTGCTTTTTAAGAAGAATTGAATTTAAATAAAAGTAAAAACTGTTCTGGAAGTCCAGGATAGAAAAACACATTTTAAGTAAGATCTGTTTTTGTTGCTTTGAGTAGACAGAAAGGAAATAAAAAGTGCAGTTCTTTTCCAAAGCTTGAGGAACCACACACACCAACATGAGAACTCTTACACATCAATTTTGCAAATAGTTGCTAACTGATTGGTAGTATTTGGATCTGTGCCCCCCTCCTCCAAATCTCATGTTGAAATGTAACTCCCAGTGCTGGAGGTGGGACCTGGTGGGAGATTACCGGAGCATGGGGGTGGTTTCTCATGGTTTCTTTCTTTTTTTTTTTAACCTTTCTCTTCTTAAGAAAAAACTTTAGGATTAAAAAATAATGCATTATTTGTAGAAAATGTAGAAATTTTTGGAAAGTAGAGCAAAGGGAATAAAAATTATAAATCTAACATTCTTAAGTAATAAATGCTTTATATTTATATTAAATGTTTTTTCTTTTTCTGTTGATATGTACACATATATCTTAATATAGTTAAGACTATACACTGCATGTTTGACTTTGCATGTTGTAAAAATATATATCATAGGAATTTTCCTATGTCAATGAATAGTCTTTATAAATATTTAGCCTGCATAATATTTCATCTTAAGAATATATCATTTTTATTTAAATACCTATATTGTTGATAGTTTGGTTTCTTTCCATTGTTTCTATTGTATGCAACTCTGAAATAAACATGTACAGAAACATTTATCCATTTTCCTAGGATAGATTTGTAGAAGTGAAAGTACTAGATCAATGGGTATGAAAATGTTTAAAGTTGGCTTTCCTTTGGGTTGTTAAAGGATTAGTGACATATTAACTGAACACATCTTTGATTACTGTATAGCACCTCATATTCAGATAATCTCTGCAAGCACTGCTGTGAATTGACTGGATGTAATCTTTTATTTCAGGCACCAGAATGCATCTCTTCTTTCTGTCTCCTATTTCTTGGGACAGAAATCAGGAGGTCTGACTGAGCCCATTTACAAGCTGTGTCAGACAAGTACTCATGCCCATCTTGTTTATGACTGCCTGCTTACCCTATTGCTCTCGGTATTTACATTTTCCTTCTTTTCTCTTCCTTCAGATGGAATGGGGCGAGTCCTTGCTCAAGATGTATATGCAAAAGACAATTTACCCCCCTTCCCAGCATCAGTAAAAGATGGCTATGCTGTCCGAGGTAAATATTTTGGTTTTCTTAAATATAATCAGACTCACAGTATATTTTTTTTCAGATTTTTGACACAGCCCAAGCACCCAGCAACAGTTAGATTTGTTTTCCCATGGTTGTCAGAATAACTTTATTCACAGATAACCATGTTAATCTGCACCTGTATATTCTTTGGTACAATTTTGATTAAAACTTTTCAGTTAAAGAAAAGTTATATAAAAACTTTTTTAAATTTTTTATTTTTAATATTTGTGGATACATGGTATATATATATTTATGGGGTTGCATGAAATATTTAGATACAGGTATACAACGCATAATAATTATATCAGGTTAAATTTGGAATCCATCACGTTAAGTGTTTATCCTTTGTGTTACTGAAATTCTTGCTTACAAATATACATATAGGAATAAAATTAAAACACTGTACCTCAATTTATTCTTTCGGTTCCTACACATGCCAGACAGCATACATTCTTGATCTGGAAGTTTTCCAAATGCTTTCTAGTTGAAACATCTGTATGGTCTAAGAAAAAAGAGCAGATGCCCAACACGAGGATAAAGTTGAGGTGGTCTGTTCTGCTTTCAACTCAAACATCAGTATAGGGCTTCATGAAAAGCAGAAATGAGGGAAACCTCTAATTCTCTGGAAGATGCCATATTTCAAAGTCCTGTAGCCCCAACAGCTCACTAGTATTTAAAAGCAAATACTAAATAGCATGTTCCTGCCTAAATTCCAATCTAAGAACCCAAAATGAAAATTCAACTGAATTGCTCAGAAACTGTTGTTGATTTTTTGTTTTGTTTTGTTTTTCCATGTACAACATGATGTTTTAAAATATGTAGTATACATTGTAGAATGGCTCAGTTGAACTAATTAACACATATGTTACCTCACATACTTATTTTTGTGGTGAGACTTAAAATCTACTCTTAGTGATTTTCAAACTATGATACGTTGTTATTATGTTATTGGTTATTAATTCAAGGTTGATATCATTGAAGAAACATGTTTAAAAAAACATTTTTGGCTTGGCACAGTGGCTCACGCCTGTAATCCCAGAACTTTGGGAGGCCGAGATGGGCGGATCATAAGGTCAGGAGTTCAAAACCAGTCTCACCAATACTGTGAAACCCTGTCTCTACTAAAAATACAAAAATTAGCCAGGCATGGTGGCGTGTGCCTGTAGTCCCAGCTACTTGGGAGGCTGAGGCAGGAGAATCGCTTGGACCTGGGAGGCAGAGGTTGCAGTGAGCCAAGATGACATCACTGTACTCCAGCCTAGACGACAGAGCAAGATTCCGTCTCAAAAAAAAAAAAAAATTGTCCAGTTTGTCAGAGCTGTTAAGCATGCCAATTCCTTTTTAATGGTCAGTTATGAAGTCTCTTACTTGGTTTTGGTTTTGGTTTTTTTAACTATATTTAGCCATGAAAATACAGGTTGGGCATCCCTAATTCAAAAATCCAGAACTTGAAGTACTCCAAAATCTGAAATTTTTTGCATGTTGACATGGCACCACAAGTAGAAAATTTCATACCTGACCTTATGTGAAGGATCACAGTAAAAACACACTCAAAATTTTTTTTAGAAAAATTAGTTAAAACATTGTATAAAATTACCTACCTTTTGTCTATGTATATAGGATATATATGAAACATGAATTAATTTGTGTTTAGACTTGGGTCTCATCCTCAAGATATCTTATTATGTATATGCAAATATTCCAAAATCTGAAAAACATCAAGATCCAAAATACTTCTGGTCCCAAGCATTTCATATAAGGGATGATCAACCTGTAATTTTCTTTTTCTTATAATTAAATACATCATTAATCTCCCCTGTGTGCCATCATCATCTCTTAGTAATTATCTTTTTATGTTGGAGACAGCATGGCAAATAGTTAAAGCTACAGGCTTTAAGCAAAGTTCTAGTGATAAGTGTTTTAGTACCAGTTCCATCTGTAACTTTGAGCAAATCACTTAAATTTTTGAGCCTCAGTTTTCTTATCTTTAAAATTATCATAATTACAACAATACTTACTCCAGCAGGTTGTTGTAAGGAGTAGATGAGGTTGTAGAAAGCCCTGGTAAAGTACCCGCACACATTAAAAAAAAAAAAAAAGAAAGAAAAAGAACACTTGATAATTGTTGTTTAAACTATATAAAGATAGCAACTATTATTATCCCTATTATTATTATTATGAACACATTTTCTTAAACCATCTCTGAAAAGGATAACATTTGAATTGGTACTCTCATTTTCTGTATAAATAATATGTTAGAGAGATTGAGCTTATGTTGTTGGTTTTTTTTCTCTTTCACTAGTGTATTCTTTCTCATGACAATTATCTTGGATTCACCTCATTCAGCTTGATCTCACTAGATTAGAATACTTCTGAAATTGTCAAAGCCAGAATATAAATATGAAATCCCCAAAGGCTCCTATGGTTTTTTCTTTCAAGTTGATTTCTTCTACAGTGTTGGTTAGAATAAATATTGTCCAGACAGAAAATTATTCTATTCTTGTGATAGCTTCACTGGCTCTTCTAGATTCTGGTTTTTTTCTTTTCTAACACCATTGTCTTGAAATAGTTTCTTATTGCCCATCTAAAAAGTAAATTGTTTTGATCTAATAATTTGTAGTCATACAATATTACTATAAAATAACAATGAATTCTTATTTCCAGAGTAGAGCAAACATCTACAGCAGATGAAACACCAGAGACAAAGAAATCTGTTTTTTATAATCTTTTTAATATAAGGTGGGAGAGAGTGAGGAAATAAATTGAGGCAGAATTATTCCCAAACAATATTGTTCTATGATTTTTACATGAGCTGCAGAAGCTCAATTAAAAAAAAACAAAAAACAAAAAAAGCGGTTGCTGTTAGCTTTTCTTGTTGCCAAAGAGAGCAAAGCCCCTATGAACTTTTCTGACACTGTACAACCAATCAAAAAATTTTTATGTAAAATTACCATTTAGTATCCTATGTACACTTTTATTTTGGAGTTGTTGTTTTGTTTTCTTTGTTGTTGTTGTTGTTGTTGTTGTTACTTCACCAAAAAAAAAAAAAAAAAAATGTAAAATGGCGTCTCAGATTGTAAACAGTCCAAGACATTATCTACCATGCAGCTGATTCACATTGTTTCTTTCTTGCGAAGGGTTGCTAGTTCTTCAAGATATGTAACATCTGAGAGAGACAGAAGAGATAACCATCATGTAGATGGTTAAATCTCAAAATAGGAATGGTTAGTATGTCTGTGTGTACCATATGAACATCATAATTAAAGAAGCAAAAGTCTCCTGTAGACAAGTGGCATAGTCTTACAACTATGCCAGATTTTCCTGCTGATACCTCCTCACCTTTGTCTGTAATTCAGGAAGGTACACTCTACGAATCCTAAAAGTTACTTTTATCCTATTTAGTAATTAAGGTGATTTTCATTTCTTTAAAGGTAAATGTATTCATTAGTCTCTTTTATGTTATAAATGCCACCCTCAGGCAGTGTTTTGGTAAATAATATCCTTGAGACCAATTGTTGTGGCTCTCTGCCACTCTCCTTTGAGTACCTCCTTCTCTCTACCCCTGTCTTCCTTTACTCTGGTTCCTTTCTCCCTGCTCCCTTGATTCTCCCTATTTTCTTCTCCTCTGCCTTTACCTTAGGCCTTCCAGTAATAACCAGTGGCACTCGTGAGCATTGCTAACCCTCTAGGTGTAAAGATGTTGCTAACTTGCTCTGGATCACTAAGCGTTAGCCAGTATCCTTCAGAAACATGTGGGATAAAACTCCAAACCAGTTGAAGGATCACTTGCTTTAAGGTATGTGAGTTCAAAAATCAAGACAGTAATAAAATGACTAAGGAAATAAGTAGAAACAGCTCAGAATAAAACATTAAGAAAGAACAGAATGTAAAGAAGGCAGGAATGAAGTGATGATAATATAAAATAATAGGAAGACCTGTAAATCTAAAACTGCATTAAGGTGGGAGTGAATTTGAAACATAAAAGTAGATAAAAGAAAAATCAAAGTGGCATATTTACAATTTGAATCAATACAGTATTTTTATTCTTTACATTTTTGGAGTTTGTTTCTCCCTTCACACTGACAAAGCTAATCATCCTCTTGATGCATTCACATCTGCCTATTTAGATGTGAGTGCCTGTTGCCCCACAGTTTCTTTGTGGATATTAATAAAGGCAAAAATATCTCAGAACTCCTAGCAGCTTTCTTGAAAAAGTTCATTTGAAAGGTTTATTCTTTCAGAGCTTATTTTGAGATCATTTGGAAAAAAGGAATATTTTGAACAAACCAGGAATTATTTTCAGAGCCATGGTAACATACAGTTCTGAAAAGATATATTAAGAGAAAGCTTTGCCATTTGGTACAGAGAATTTTTAAAGTTTTTTTTTCTTGTTTATATTCTGATTGAAATTACTTATGGAAAATGCAAAAATAATCAAACAGGACATTTTTAAATTGCCCATTAACTTACTCCCTGGCCCCTATTAACATTTCGTGAATTTACCCCACATACAGTGAGTTAGAGTACACTAAAATTCAATATAGACAATCCACAGCCATTGTAATTTAGAGGTAGTTCTTATTCTTTCAACAGTAATCACATTTCAGGGCTTTTTTGTATCCATTTGAATCCTCTTTGGCTACAACTGGTTCTGCAATTCATTTGACAGCCTATTTTGTTCCCTACTACAGGATACTTTCAATGAAAAAGAAGGCCTTATAATGCAGGAGTAATACATGAACAGATAGATAATTTGGAATAATTAAGTTTAGCTAATTCAAAAAGAAAATATTTAAGAAAATAATACCTCCTTTCCCAATATTAACAGTTAATAGGCATTTTCCCTGGAAGATAATGGTAAAGAATACATGATGCCTTCTTACTCATGTATCCTATGCCCACCTCCATGCTTTCCATAAGAAGAGTTAGCCAGTTTATAATTCCAAACAATTCACCTAATTTAATACTTGAGTGTAATTGCAGCA